CCAAGATAAAGAGAAGATCTTAAAAACTGCTAACCTGAATTCCACCATTCTTTCGTAGGCATATATAACTTTTAAAACATTTTTTCCAAGTAGCCATCATTTCTTAAAGTTTTCTTTAAAATGTTTTAAATATGTGGATATTTTTCTTGATGAGATTATAGATCCCTTTCTTCTGCAAAGGCTTACGTTTCCTTGGCAAACTATGGCAATAAAGTCTGAAAGAAGCGTGTGTGGAAGAGAGTGGGGTCTGAGGATCGTCAGCTTTGCTTTCATTGCCAAACCTTTGGCATAAATTGTATGGCTGCATGCTTTGTACCTTGATTTCATTCAACTTTATTGAAATCATGAGCATTTTTCATATTGCTAAATGGTGGTTATAATTATAATTGTAATAGCTTCCTTATAGTCCATCAACTTTATTCCATTACAATTTCCTTAATCATTCCTCCCTTATTAGTCATTTATGCTTTTATTTCCCTCAAATTTGGATCATTATATGTAATACTGTCATAATAGACATTTGTATGCCTATAGCTTCTCTTTTATTTTGGTTCAGTTTTAGGGAGGGTTCTCTGAAGTGACGTTACTGTGTCAAATGTTGTGGAGCCACTGCCTTGAAGCTGTCAATAAATCTACACTTCCCCCAGGTATTTTCATATGTGCCGGTTTCAGCATGAAGGTCACCACTAAGTATTATAAGTTTGGAATATAGGCCAGGTGCCGTGGCTCACACTCGTAATCTCAACATTTTGGGAGGCTCAGCCAGGTGAATCGCCTGAGGTCAGGATTTTGAGACCAGCCTGGCCAACATGGTGAAACACTGTCTCTACTCAAATTACAAAAATCAGCTGGGCGTGGTGGCAGTCATCTGTAATCCCAACTACTCAGGAGGCTGAGGCAGGAGAATTGCTTGAACTCAGGAGGCAGAGTTTGCAGTGAGCACAGATCATGCCACTGCACTCCAGCCTGGTCAAGGAGAGTGACTCCATTTAAAAAAAAAAAAAAAAAAAAAAAAAAAAAAAAAAAAAAAAAAAAAAAAAAAAAAAAAAAAAAAAAAAAAAAAAAAGGAAAAAAATATATAGTCTATCAATATGCAGAGTGTAGAAGGCATTTTTATTTAAATAATGAAATGGAACATTTTCCCACATTTGCTTATTAATTTTTTTCTCTTTTGCTCACCGCTTATCAGTACTTAGGCTATTTAAACATCTTTTTGGACCTGATGTTTGTCTTACAGATATCTAACATAGATATTCTTCTTTTGTGGTGAGTTATCAAGAAATGCTGTTAAAAAAACACACATAGAGGGTTGTGCTGGTAAGCTTTGCTTACTAATACTATGCATAGATAGGGACCTATATTTCCTAGTAGCATTGGTGTTAGAATACTAGGGTGTCAGCCACTGTCGGCTTGCTTGACACTCATTTCTAACCCTCTTCTCTCTTATCTTCCTCGTTTAAAGAGCTTGAACAGGCTGCAACATTCAGTGACCAGCCCATGGTAAAGCCGGAGGTGGTTTTATTATAAAGCCTGGCCAATAAAATATAAGGAAGAGTGTGCTGGTGCCTTTTCCCCACATTTTCTCTTCGTTTTTTCTCAGCTGAATGATGTGCTCACTGGAGACATAGCAGCCACCATGCAATCAGATTGAAAGAAAAAGAAAAGAGACAGCCAGGAGAATGGCAGATAGTGTGGCCTTTATTTTATTAAATTGCTGAAATAATGCCATGAACCTTCTACCTTTCCCTCAAATTTATTTTTGTGCAAAATAAAACCTCATTTAAGTCGCTATCAGACTTTGTGTTACTGTCTGGGGAAAAAATTTCTAACTCAGACATCTGAGCTGGATGGGAAGGGAGTTGGATCTCTATTTTTTTTATTTTATTGTGTTTTAGGTTTTGGGGTACATGTGAAGAACATGTAGGATGGTTGCATAGGTACACACATGGCGATGTGGTTTGCTGCCTTCCTCCTCATCACCTACATCTGGCATTTGCGCTCACTTTTAAGCGAACCCAAAGCCAATTTTTTCATAAACTTTATACTGTGAACCCATGGTAACTGACCAAAATGGAGGTTGAAATTTCTAAATTTTCTTTGTTTCCCAGTTTGTATCCAGAGATATGAATGAGTCTCCTGAAGCCAAAATAAAATCAATTTTATTTTTAATGCTCACAACGTTTGACAATGGGCAAACAAAATTTAGAGGCACTCACATACCCCATACCCAGAGAAGTCAAGTTGCACTTGACAAATATATCACGCATCTGAGAGATAAAAATCCATCCATGCCTCTCCACATCCACGCATTTAGAGCCATTATTGATCCATTTATCACATACTGAGGATATGTCATTTGACAGGTATGTGCTTCATGGCAGATATGTAAAGGAAGAAACATACAGCAAAGTCTTTGTCTTTAAAAAGTTCTCTTCCATACCAGTGATGGAGTGTGAGAGGAGGTCATCTAGACGAACAAATATACTTAGCCCAGAAGTTCAAGGCTGCAGTGAGCTGTGATTGTGCCACTGCACTCCAGCCTGGGTGACAGAGCAAGACCCTGTCTCTAACACAAAACAAAACAAAAACAGAAACAACACTCAAATATGTTTTATACTGTGTGAGAGCAAAAAGAAAAAAGAGAGTAGTAAAGAGAGATTAATAGTGAAGGGCAAAAATGGAATATAAAGGCCTTGCCCAAGTCTCCAGAGCCAGTAAAGTGGTACAGGTTCCTTTAATCAAGGTCTTCTGGACTACTTGTTACAATGACAGCCATGACCTGAAATACGTGGGCCAACACCTGGGTCATCAAATTTTTTTACATTATAAAATAGTATCAGTTTAGCTGTTATTGTATAGAAGTTAACTGGTATGAAGGAACTGTCCCGAATTTATCAGTATGAGGTTTATTTTCTCGAAGGACTCCTTGTAACCTCTACAGAGCACCTGTTATGTGTCTGCCAGAGGCTGGAATTGCAAATGTGTATATGAGTGCTCCCGCCCCCGAGGGCCAGAGTCCTGCTCTCCTTTCCCTTCTCACCGGGACCTTCACTTTCTTCCAACCAAGCCAGCCATTCTAGAACTGTATAAAAGTGACCTAGAAAAAGGGCTGGGGAGAGAATCAGACCTCAGAGCTTTAGAAAAGAGATTCTGAGATTTCTCTCTAAAAAGTGATATTTTCTATTGACTAAAGAAAAGAACAATTTGTTCAACATCTGTTTTTCCCTCCTGACTAACTTCGCTCAACTCTGAAGTAATGTCTCCTTTCTTTAGGAAAACAGGTGTCAAAACATGCAGCAAATCAAGTTTTCAAACAGCTGAAATAAACTTAAGGATTTTCTACCTTTTTAATAATTTTAGCCAGGAATTCTTTTGTGAGGCTTATGATTTTCCAGTTTGGAAGTCTGTTTCTCCTTGGGGTGCTTATGAGCAATCTTTTTGAATTCTTATTGTCACATTCCCATCCTCCATAACCAATTACTGTTATTTGGATGTGAAAAATCTATTTTTTTTCCCATTTATTTATTTTATTGCATTTTAGGTTTTGGGGTACATGTGAAGAACATGCAAGATTATTGCATAGGTACACACGTGGCAGTGTGATTCGCTGCCTCCCTCCCCATCACCTACATCTGGCATCTCTCCCCTTGCTATCTCTCCCCAGCTTCCCACCCCCCACCGTCCCTCGCCTATTTCCCCCCAACTCACCCCAGTGTGTAGTGCTCCCCTCCCTGTGTCCATGTGTTCTCATTGTTCAACACCCGCCTATGAGTGAGAACATGCGGTGTTTGATCTTCTGCTCTTCTGTCAGTTTGCTGAGAATGATGGTTTCCAGGTTCATGATCCACTATTGATTATTTTTTATTTCTGTCAAATGTGCTTTATAAACAGGAAGATCTCAGGACCACATTGAATTCTATCATATTAAACATCTTTATAGGAAGAGAGAAAGATAAATTGAGTGAATATTGATCAATATTGTGGGGACTTTGAAACATTACTTGTTACCAGATGCTTAGGTATGGAGGGGAGAATTATGATTCCATTTTGCAGATGAGAAAATCTAGGCAAATAGAGTTTACCGAGCCCAAGATCACACAATTAGAAACTAATGAAACCAGGATTCGTGCTTAATTCTCATCTAACTTCAAAAACCACACACTTTGTGGCTCACCACAATGGTGTCTCTCTAGTCTGACGCATTTTATGTTGTGTAGTCAAGCTTGAATTTACGTATTAGCCTCTGGTACTTACCAGCTGCTAGGCCTTGGATAAGTCACTTGTATTCATGAGTCTGGATCCCCTTATCTGTAGAATGAACAGTCTATACCTCACAGGGCTTTGGTAACGATCCAGTGAGTTAATGCAAATGAAAGAGCTCAGAAGGGCACCTGGCATGCAGTACGTGATTAAGTTTTGTCAATTCTTATTATTATCTGTTTCTTCATGAATTATACTATAGAATACATGTTATGACTTTGTGCATATCTGAGTACAGCTGAAGAGGGACTTCTAACTGAATACTAGTTTTTTTTTCTTTAAAGTTTCAGTATTTAGTATTTATATATGAAAGATTTCCCCTACTCTTCACCACTGGCTGATAAATTCAGGGGAAGGAAAAGGTATCTCTTGGTAAGATGGTTTATGAACTTTTGTTTCAGCAGTCCCTTTTTAAAAATACAGGTAAAGCATTGCTGCTTTGACCATGGTGTGGGAAGGGGATGGACTCCTGGATCTCCATATACCCTCATTCCCTTTACAACCCCTACCAGCTCATTATGGTCATGGGGGTACTTCTGGGGAGCCCTGGATGTCAGCATCACGCAGACTGAGAACCACCAACCCACAATGTACAAAAAAACACACAATGGACAGTGACTGACAAATATAATTAATTTTCACTGCAAAAGGCCTGCGTGTAGTCCTTCTTCCCAATCTAAAGTATCACCACTCAGCTCCCATTATACATTGCCACAGTTAATGCTTTGTTTAACTGGCAGGGTCTACAGTTTGGTACCAGAGAACTGGAGGAGATGGGAGCCATGTTCTGCTTGGGCCTCCTCATCCTGGAGCTCAAATCTGCCAGCTGCAGCCATCAGCTCCTCACTCAAGCTGCCACTCTGCTGAGTGCTGAGGAAGAGGCTCTGGACCAGCACCTCCAGCGGTAAGATGCTCCCAAGGGCTCAGAGAAATCTGGACCTTGGTGTTTCCATTGCTGAATATCTCAGTAATGAAAGTCGAGCGGACCTAGGGGGTCTTTACACAGAGACAATATGGAAGAACTGCCAAGTAAAGGTAGGTGCAGTCACGCTGTACTGGATGACCCATACCAGGGACATCCTTGTTTCCTGCTGATGATAAAGAGGACATTGCCTGTTTGTACACACATATGCAAATATAAAACTGTATGTATTTAAATATATTTCCAGTTAACACATTTTACTTATGATAAAGGTGTGGCTTGGTGACACACACAGATATCTACATGCACTTATATTTGCCAGTTATGTGTTTATATGTATACAGATAACATTTTTGGAGCCATTACTCAGCAAAAAAAAAAAAAAAAAAAAAAGCAGTCAAATTGACACTATCTAGGCACCTGGAGACAAGAAATGTTTTACTCTTCCCATCTTCAAACAGCATCATTCCTTCTTGGAAGATAAAGAAAACCACCCAGAGATGATTAACGCATTGGCTCAGAGAACCGGACTCCCAGCCATGGCAGGGAAAGGCTGGATCTCTGAGAACCGTGGGGATTATTAATGAGCCAAGTGAGGGAGAACAGTTGTCCAAATGAGCCCTTTTGATTTTCTTTCCTGTAGAAGAATATTTTAGACTTGACCAAAACAAATTCAGGGGGCAAGAGGGGAAGAAATAATGGGCATGTGAGAGGAGAGGGGATGGACAGGACTCCAAGAAGCCCAAGTGGGCTCAGTCATTGCCCACCCTTTGAGTGTCAGAATGGATGGGGAAATTGAGCTGTTGGGGAAGTGTCTGTTGGTAAATGAGGAGGCATCTGGTCATGCAGTTCATGTCCAAAGGCAGACAGCAAGCCATTATCAAAACTGATGCCATCTTATTTCTGGCTCATTTTCATGAATTTTCCTCCTGCTCCTGTTAGGCTGCTGTTGTCGTGTGACTTCTTACTGAGTGGCTAGTGAAGCCTAGAAAGACCTAGCAGTGTGCCTTAATACTGCATTGGAAGGCTCTGGTTTTTCTGAAACTTCATTACCTAAATGCAATAATTAACTTCCTCATCACACCGGGCTGTAGATCATAGACTATAGAAACTTAAATGAGTACAGGGTTCTTTTCTCCATAAGTCTGATGCCACTGATGTATTTTGACATCACAGCCACTTCTGCCTGCCCCTGCTCCTTTCAGCACTCCTCAGTGTCTGAAGGCTTCATGTGTTTGGTCTCACTGGAAACACCAAAGTGTTTTCAGACTCTTCCTCTGACAACAAGCGCTTCCACCTGCCAGCATGTATATTTCAACTTGTGTTTTCATATTTTCCTTTACTAAGCCATCTTGGGTGTAGGCATGCCTGGATTTTCTTTCTTTCTTTCCCCTTTCCCCCCTCTCTCCTCTGCCGCTCATTGAGGGAAGACTGAGCAGGACTGGCTTTGCTTGCTTTCGTCCAATTGATTGCACCCGTCTGTTTGATCCAATGCAGTGAGGATTAGTTGCCTGCAAACTGGAACAAAAAGAAATCTATCAAAGAAACGCCTTTTCTAATTCAAGTCTGAAGAATTTGATGTCAGGCTTCAAATACAGTGGCTGCTCTATAGCTTATCATAAAGAGCTAGTATTATTTGCCCCCACCCCTCCACACCATTTCACACAGCCGTGAGTTTTTTCACTGCATCCTGTCCAAGGGTATTGAAGCTAGAGGTCCTCCCATGACCTCTGACCCTTCCTAGGCTGGTGCAGCTTCCTAAACGCAAGATACCTGAAAACAGGGTGTGATTAATATGTCTACTTTGAATAGATTTGTCTTAAGTTTGACTGGCATGGAGTTTGGTGGAGATCAGCAGGAAGGAAACTGCCTGTTTCACCCAGACATTTGTATGGTAATTATTTTCCTATTTGTTACGAAGCAGTTGACCACACAGATTGTGATTCTTGCCCAAAGGACCTAAAGACTACACGGTTGAGAGGGCAATCACCCTGAACATTGCTTGACCCCCAAAAATATTCCAGCCAATAAGCTTATGGTCATGAAAAGATGACACAGAGAACATTTATAAAATGAAATCTACTGGTTTAAAACCATCAACAGGTTTTGAGTAGCATTTGATTAGTTTCTGATGAATAAAGCTAAATCCTGAGATGTAATAATCAGCAGAGTGAATCCTAAGAATTTTGTTAGTATCAGGATTCTTACTGTAATACAAAGAATGTAGCCAATGTTTGTCAACACAAATCTGTGTATGTTTTAAAGAGGAAACCTCTTCCACCCTCCTCCATTCCTGCCTCTTTCTTTAACATAACAGGGTTTCCAGCATCCTATAAGCTTTGTGTTGTTGTTGCATAGAAGAAATTATGAATAACAAGGTGGGTGAGGGGCTCTGCTCCAAAGGTCTGCCCTAAAGAAATGCAAGGATGTGGTACTGCATCCTCTCCTAGGTCCGCAGACAGCCTTAACTCCTGGGGGTGATCAGCCAGGAAGACAAAGTGTGGCTGCACACTGTGGACATCATGTTTCCTGACAATAGGTTTCATGCCTCATTTACCATAAAAACAATTAGAGTGTAGTCAGCATCCACAGAGCAACTCACCATTTCTCAAGAGCAGAGGAAGAGCAGAGATAGCGGATGTTCGCCTGGTGGCTGACGCTTAAAATGAAGTACATGCGTGCTTTGTGGTGGATGTCCTTCGTCAGCCCTCTTCTTCCCAGTTGCTCATTTCAGAAATGTCTGCATGCTCATGAAGGCATCTTTTGATCTTTCCTTTCCTCTTCCTTTCTCCTTCCTCTCAATCTTATTCCTGGAAATAATGGTGTGTGCACTGCAGGAATGCTAAGCTGCTTCTTCAAGAGGAGCTGTTTATCCATTGTGACAGGTCTTTTGCAAAGTCATTTAAGTTTTGCCGAGTCAGCCACTGTTTGTCTGGATTTGTATCCCTCCACTGCCTCTTGGTCTGCTCCGTCGAGCCCCCACCTCCATTTGTCCCTCCATTAATAACTAGAGAAAGCTAAAGCTCAGCAATGACTCAATACCCACCGTGTTCTCCGAAATTATAGTCCTGTGTGCTTTAGCCAGGGCTCACCTTAGTACCTACATAAACTAGGTTTGTTTGGTACAACAACACTAAAAGAATAAAAATTAGACATAGATCTTAGAAAAAAATGTTTGATAATTCAAAAGGTGCTTGATTTTCATTTTTAAAAGCACAATTTTGTTGTTTCAAAAGAGAAAATGAAATTAGGAAAGCAGTAGATGGTATATATATAATATTTCCATATTACAGTTTTACTATTGAATCATTTTGTAGTTTTAAATAATCCACCTTTTATCACTGATTAGTAATGCCAGTTTATTATGTAGTATATACACATGCATGTACCTGGGTATATTTTTTGGATTTATATTCTGTTCCATTAGACTGTCTGCCGGAAACACATAGATTTTAATACTGTAGCTTTGTAATCTAAATGCATGATGCTGCAAACACACCTCATTAGTATTAGTTTAAAAATGTGTTTTGCTATATTTGCTTCTTTATTTTCACTGATACACCCCGTAATGAGTTGTTAGCTGCCAAAACCTAACCAGCTGGGATTTTAACTCAGGTAATATTAAAATTATAGATATTTTGGGTCTATTGACTGCTTGCCTATGTAACTTTTATAAAATTTGATATTTTTATTCACTTATACAGATCTGCTTTGGTATTCATCAGTACTGTAGGGATTCTTTAGGTATTCTTTTTACGTAGTTCCTGAACTTATCGTAATAAACTTTTAACTTCAATATTTTAAAAAATTTTGTTAATCTAAAAAGCGTATTTTTTACTACATTGCTTCTAAGTGCTTGTTTTAGTTATGTAGAAAATTTCTGGGTTATATATATGTTTGTTTGTGACTTCAACAAACTCACTAGTTATACCTGAAAGTATTTTCCATGGATTTTCCTATTTTTCTAGATAGAAAACAATATCATTTATACATTTTGACCACTGGCTTCACGTACTTCTTTTTCTTATCCTATGACCCGGGCTAGAGTTTTGAGACCAATGCGTAAGGCTGAGGATTTTATGAGCATCCTCACCATAAACCTAACTTCAAAATGAGAGTGACTCTGCCTTTAAGAATTAAGTGAAATGGCTCTTGGTTTGATGTTAATATTTCATATCTTTTTCATTATTATTTTTCTTAGCTTATTAATTTAACAAAGTCTGGATTGGACGATTAATTTTATCACAAGTTTCTTTAGCATCTAGAAAAATTACTTATTTGAATTAATAAAATATTATATTATGGATTTTCTAATATTCAACTATCCTTACATTTCTGAGGAAAATGTATTTGGCTGTGACCTGAAATATTAGTTTAATGTAGAGATTGAAGTTACGTACTGTAAACTGAGGAGTTGCATGCCTATATTTGTGAGTGAGTGAAATCTGTGCCTGGTCTCTGTTGTTCCATGAACTTGAACGCTTTAAATTTCCTAGGTTACATCTGCACCTTGAACATTTACTTATTGCCTGCAAAATCATCTGTGTTCTATTTATTTAAAACAAAAATATTATTTTTCCAATTCTAATATTCCCAAATAAGAATTACCAATGGCATTTAAATTGTCTTGTAATCATGTTCAGATCGTTTTAAAATTCAACTTTGTGTTTACTTACTTGCATTGGTCATCTATACCCATCCTATGCAATCATGTCCTCATTCTTTTTTTTCAATGTTGATTCATTTTACGTTTTTTCAGAGAACACCTTAAAAATAGCTTTTCTTTTTTTAATGTAAATCAGTGGGTTTTTTTCTTTTTTGCATATTAATACATATGTGAATATCTTTCTCTTCCCTTTACCTAGGAATTCTCCTTTCTCTGCCTAGAGATTTTATGGGCACACATTAAAATAGTGTAGACAGGGCGAAATTCACTGTGGTATGTAATCTTGCAGTAGCTAGCCTAATTTTCTTTCTTTGTATACA